GCCCCCCTGCAGCAACCCAGGCCCCCCTGCAGCAACCCAGGCCCCCTGCAGCAACCCAGGCCCCCCTGCAGCAACCTTTTCTGCTGCACAAACCAGGGACCCAGGAGTCACTCTTACTTTGCTCTTGCTCATTGTCCACACCCAGCCTGCCATTGAGCAATGCAGAACTCTACCTCAGGTGTCTAACAATGTACTTACTTCTCTGCAAACCTCAGTCAGGCTTCTGTCTTCCCTTGCCTTGACTACAACACCTGGGCAGGTCAAGGACACTGAGTGGCAAGGGACAGTGTCTTTAGAAAAGAGTCAGTGTGGCCAGAGGCAGAGGTGGAGGACCTGGCGAGGTTAGTGGTTGTGTCACGGAGGGACAGGAGCCCCAGAGTGCCCAGGGGGGCCCGAGAGCTGGGAGTCAGGGGGCCTGCCGAAAGAGTGAGGTGCTGAGATGTGAAGTGAGGCAGGCCTGGACCTCTGCACCTTGTCTGGGCCTCTTTGGGGGCTGCCATATCCATTCAAGGACCTCTCACTGTACAGGGATTCCATCACAGACTCTGTGAGTCCTTTGTGAAGGGTGTCGCTAAGTTTTTAATGTGTTCCTCTTATAAACTGCCAAGTTATGCAAAGTTGAGGTCCCTTTCTGGAATCCCTGTCCACTGTAGAGAGTCACATGACCGCTGCAGACAGGGTCTAGGCATTACTGACGACCCCCAAGGCACTGGAGGGTCTGAAGGACCACTGGGTGTCTTGTGGGCAAGTGTCCAAACATGGGCTTGTTCTGTGGCCTCGTCCACCAGTTCAGAAGGCTTAGAACTGGAGTGCTGGCCCCACAGCCCTGCTGCGGCCCACATCCTGGTTTGCAAACCTGTTTTATCCTTGCCAGTAGACGTCAGTGTCAGCTCCAGGATGATGTGTTAATGTTTAATGGGCAAAGGCTGTACGCTGCTTCAGCCTGTGCCTCGGAGGGCGAGGGATCAACAGCCACGATGCTGAGAGGTCCAGGTCTCCAGGAGAAAACTGCCTTTCTTAGAAAGGCAGGCAGGGAGGGGGCAGAGGAGAGCAAGCCAACAGTTGCCGGTTCTTCCCCTCAGCCGGGAAAGGTGCAAGCTGTTGGGAGGGTGTTGGATCCTCAGCAAAGACCTTCTGCACCAGTAATAGCAATCAAGCAATCAGGCAGGTGAAATTCATTTGCAGGCCTGAAGTGCAGGGGAATCTTGGCTTTCTGGGGAAGGACCTTGGAACTGAGGTTCATGATCTGGGGCAGAGAGGCCTGCACTGCAAGATCAGGCTAAGGTCATGTTCTAAAAGCAGCCTGAGAAAAATGTGCACATCCTAAAGCTAAGGTGCCCGAAGAATCTGTTCTGAATGTGAAACGATTCATCTCTGTGGTAAGATGATTGCAGTTAGTCCTGTGGAGGCCCACGGAAGAAGATGGATCTCAGATCAGTGTAGTTCAAGTCTATGTTTAATGGTTGGTGTTGTCAGTTTCCTGGGATCTGGACTCACCTGGAAAACAAGCCTCTTGGCATAGCCGGGAGGAATTAGCTGTGTTGACTGATGTGGGAATGCTGTGGGATGTTCTGTATGCTGTGAATATGTGTTGCTCTGATTGGTTGATAAGTAAAAAGCTGATTGGCCAGTAGCCAGGCGGGAAGTATAGTTGGGGTAAACAGACAAGGAGAATTCTGGGAACGAGAAGGCTGAGTCAGAGCAGATGTCAGCCGGCTGTACAGGGAGCAGCATGTAATGACAAACAGGTAAAGCCACAGAACTCGTGGTGACATACAGATGAACAGAAATGGGCTGAGTAAGAGCTCAGTGGTAGGCCTAAGCTAATGACCGAGGAGTTTTAATTAATATAAGCTTCTGAGTGATTCTTTTATAAGCGGCTGCGGGGTCTGTGGGGCTGGGCATGACCAGAGAAAACTTGACTGTGGGCAGGACCATTCCCTGGCAGGAATCCTAGTCTGTGGAAGTGAAGGAAGCTAGCTGAGCACACCGCACACATGCTTTCATGGCTCGCGGCTTCCTGATTGTGGATACAATGTTGCAAGCTGCTTCACATCCTGCCCTCTCAGCTTCCCTGCCTCTGGAGATGGGACCCTTGAACACTGAGCCAGAATAAAGCCTTTCCCCTTAAGGGGCTTCTGTCAGGGTATTTTTATCCCAGCAACAGGAAATGAACTAAGACAGTGTCCCAAGGAGTGGAGAGTTCATGTAGGTTGGGTAGACACGCGTGTCACAGGTGTGCATAGAAGCACCCAGAGATGAGTAGTGCGACCTGGCATTGGATGGTCTTGGTTTGACCTTTGGCCTTGTTACTTATTGTGTGACTTTAGAAAACCAGATTAAAGTCTCCTTTGCTCCCGCCTCCAGTGTTTTGGGGTGTGTGTGTGTGTGTATGTGTGTGTGTGTGTGTGTGTGTGTGTGTGCGCGTGCACGTGTGTACAAGTACCATGTCCTTGTGTCTGGTGTGGGGCGTGCATGCACTCAGGTGCACTCACAGGCCAGAGGTGAAGGCCAGGTGTCCTGCTCCTTTACTGTCTGCTTCCTTCCTTTAAACCTGAAGCTAAGATGGAGGCCACCAAGCCTCAGGGAGCCTCCTGCCTCCTCCCCCACAGCCATGTCTGGCTTTTCATGTGGGTGCTGGGATCTAAATTTAGGTCCCTTGTGTTTACATAACAAGCTCTCTAACCCACTGAGCCGTCTCTCT